ATTAATTTCTTTCTATTTTTAGTAGAGACGGGGTCTCGCTCTTGCTCAGGTTGGTTTCGAACAATCCGCCCGCCTCAGCCTCCCAGAGTGCTAGGATTACAGGCGTGAGCCACGGCGCCAGGCTAAAATTTTTAATTTTATTTCATTTTTTATTTTTTGCCCTGCTTCCTGGAGCTTATTCTTTTTAAAAATCAAATCTGATGGCTTCCCATGGCCTTTTGGAAAAAGTCAGAACTCTTTGGCTTACCATTCAACAAAATACACAATCTGGCTTCAACCCACCTTCGCAGATTCATTGCCCATATAGCTCTTCAAGTTCAACAAACATTTGTTAAATGCCAGGCACTATGTGAGGAGACAAAGACCAATAATGCAAGATTCCTGTCCTGAGGTGAGGGAGAGAAACAGAAACAGAGTATTTCAACATGAAAGTGTGTGGTAAGTGCCATTCTAGAGGCATATACAACTAGTGCAGTGGAAGCACAAAGGAGGAGCCTCCTGGTAGAAATGACCACCTTAGTTCTAACAATATCATACTACTCAGTTTCTTGAGAACAACATGCATTTCCACAGTTAACCTTTTAGGCTGTGTGTGATCTCTGCCAGAAACGCCCTGTCAACCCCCACATCCCTGGCAATCTGATATTCATTCTTAAGTACAACTTAAGTCACCACCCTCCATCGCTTCCCCAGTACATCTCCCTTTCTATATTCTCACAGCACTTACCGTGTCTCTGTCACAGCATTTATCCTTGGATTTTAACTAGCACTTATCTTAATCAATTTTATTCTCTCATTTACTCATTACGGTCATGATCTTGGCACACAGTGTTTATTGTCTGCCATTTTATTGAATACTTACTCTATGCCAGGCTTCACTTTTATTGTTTAATTCAATTCTCCTGACAACCCTACGAAGCAGATACTATTACTATCCCCATTTTTCAGATGGGAGAGCTGAGGCCCAGTGTCTTGCCCAATGTCACAAACGATGAGGGTGAAAATCAAGACAAGCTCCAGGGTCTGCACTCTTCAGCACTAAACTATGCTGCCTCAGTAATTTGTCTCGAAACGAATAAATGAATGAGAGAAATAACAGAAAAAATCTCCCTCTTCCTAATTTCACTGAAGGGCACACGAAGGACAAACACCGAACCTAAGGAATGTCTAAAATGCTCGGGGGAGGGAGGGGTCCTCAGTCACGGCCAGCAGGCGCAGGCACCAATCACAGGATCCTGAGGTTGCCCGATGTCCAGGGCAGCCGGAAGATGGGGAGGTCTGGACCAGAATCGACGCGAGGTGGTGCCACTATGCACTGCTGCGTCGCAGAAGCGGGCTGGGCAGCTGTCGGACCCCGAGAGGCCTGGGGCAAGGGTCGCGTCAGGCCCGGAAGGCTGTTTGGTGGTTAGTGGTCCAAGACTGCCGGAAGCGCTTCCTCTCAATCAGGCTATGCCACAGGAAGTTATTACAATCCTGTTGCAACCTCTAAAGATGTCCCCATTCTGCCCAGCACCCCGACAGCCTTTTTCTGTTTTTCTCTTACTATGACTTTCCCGGGTTACGCACCACTTCACAGCGCTCTGGGTCGTGAAGGAGCAACTCCACCATTGCTACTCAGAGGAGTCACTGAGAGTTTGGGAGAGGGAGACGTGGAGAGGAACGAAGAGACCAAAGGGTGAGGTTTCTAGGAACAGATTTCGAGGCTGCACGCGGTTTAGGATGGCTGATATTCCTCCTCAGTCGGAGCCGGCGACATCGCAAGAAGTCAGTGACGACTTCAAGAAGCCAGCTCTGCCCGTGCCCCCGGCGGTGCGGGATAAAGCCCCGGCTACCAATCCCTCAGACCCTGAGGAGGTAAAGAAAGAAAGGCCCACGGCGCTGCGGGACCCCGATTCTGGGGGGCCCGACGTCCCGCCACCTCTGCTGGACAGCGGGGACACCAGGAGTCCACAGGAGGAGCAGCCACGTCCCCCCACAGCATCTTCTTCCCCTGGCGGTCCGGCCCGGGCTCCCCCCTACCAAGAGCCGCCATGGGGTGGCCCAACCACGGCCCCCTACAGCCTAGAGACCCTGAAGGGCGGCACCATCCTTGGCACCCGTAGCTTGAAAGGGACGAGTTACTGCCTTTTCGGGAGGCTATCTAGCTGCGACGTGTGCCTGGAGCACCCTTCTGTGTCTCGTTACCATGCCGTGCTGCAGCACAGGGCGTCCGGCCCAGACAAAGAATGCGACAGCCACGGGCCGGGCTTCTATCTCTACGATCTGGGAAGCACCCATGGTACTTTTCTGAACAAAACTCGCATCCCACCCCGCACCTATTGTCGAGTCCACGTCGGGCATGTTCTTCGCTTTGGAGGTAGCACCCGGCTCTTCATCCTTCAGGTAAGTGGAAAAATCTAGACTTGGAAATTCAGAAGCTCACCGGGCTGCGCTCCTGAGCTTCTTAAGCTTTTGTTGAGGAAGGAAATTCTCCCAGTCAGCGATTACAAAAGCGGAGGAATCAGTCTGGCCCCTCATCTCCAGACCTCTGTACACATTGCCGTATTTCTGAAAGTAACTTCCACAATCCTGAACTCTGAAAGAACTTTTTTGCTTGGTTTATAAGGGACCAGAGGAAGACCGAGAGGCAGAATCCGAGTTAACGGTGACACAGTTGAAGGAATTGCGCAAGCAGCAACAAATGTTGGAGAAGAAGATGCTAGGAGAAGACTCAGATGAAGAGGAGGAAATGGATACCACTGAAAGGAACAGAAATACTAGTAGCCAAGATGATGAGATGGGTTGCACCTGGGGAATGGGTAAGAAATTAAAATTGCTGACATTTTGAATTCATTACTAGCGGTACCCTTGAATGTTTTTTTCATACAATTTTTCATGACTCTTTGAGATAGGGCAAACATAATTTGCACTTTACTGATGTAAAAAAATTGAATATGGTCACTATGGAGTTCTTTTAACTTGTTCTTAATGCACTCTTGTTCAAAACTCATCCTCAGCATACAATTAACTTATTATTTTTTACCATTTAATGGTAAAAATATTTATTTATTAATATTTATTAAATGCTGCCTTGTGCTATATGATTATCACTGAAGGGGTGGAATTACATTCAATCAAATAAATGGGATATTAATCAATATTTTTGATTTTTCGTACTTTGTGAAAATATCCTGAAATTTATAATATCTAATCAGAGAAAGCTGGTCCCTTAGCAAAAAGAATAAATTGAATTTTCTATAACACCAGACATTTTGAAGGATGGATATTCAGGAGATAGGACTATAAAAATATAGAAGATGTAGCTGGGAAGACAGGATAAGTATTATGAAATTACTTGAAGTACCAAACAAAAGCTAGAAACCATACATATGCTAGAGTAAAGGTTCAGAGAAGGGAGCAATCACTGAGGACTTAGACTTGTGCTATCTAATATGGTAGCCACTAGCCACATGTGGTTACTGAGCACTTGCACTGTGGCGAGTCGAAATTGACATGTGCTGTAAGTGCAAAATACACACTGAATTTCGAAGATTTAGTCTGAAAAAAGAATGAAAAATATCTCATTCATTTTTTATATATATCCTTTCTTTCTTTCTCTTTTCTTTTCTTTCCCTCTCGCCCTCTCTCTTTCTTTCTTCTCTTTCTTGTTTCTTTTTTGAGACAGGGTCTTGCTCTGTTGCCTGGGCTAAGGTGCAGTGGCATCATCATAGTTGACTGCAACCTTGAACTCCTGAGCTCAAGTGATCCTCCTGCCTCAGGCTCCCACATAGCTGGGACTATAGGCATGCACCATCATGCCTGTCTAATTTTTCCTATTTTTTTGTAGAGTTGGGGTCTCACTGTATTGCTCAGGCTGGTCTCCAACTCCTGGCCTCAAGTGATCTTCCTGCCTTGGCCTCCCGAAGTGCTAGGATTACAGGCATGAGCCACCCTCCCTGGCCCAATATTTTTATATTGATTACATGTTGAAATGACAATAATTTTTTCTCTTATTCATTTTTTAATGTGGCTAATAGAAAATTTAAGATTACATATATTGTCTTTCATTATGTTTCCATTGGACAACACTGACTTAGGTCTTTGGGGAACTTTATAAGGAGAAGAGTTTTGCGCTGGAACTTGAAGGAAAAGAAAAGCTGTTATGAAGTTGAGCATTGGGATTGGTATTCAGGATAGGAATTGATGATTTTAAGGGAGTAATGAGTAGACCATTCTATTTGGCAGATATAAAAAGTATTGGGAAATTATATTGGAAACAAAGTATTAGATCTGAATGTGAGAGGAGGAGAATGCCAGGTTGAGGAGCTCAGATTATTTTTCACAATGTGGTAGGTAATTTTGCTTTTAAAATATAGTGATGGAGGAAAAAAAAATTAAGATGCCATGAAAACAAGTTTTGACTTGTCATATAATCTAGAAAACCTGAAGATGCTCATACTGGTGGTTTTGTGGTTGTTTCACCCACCCCCCGCTCCCCAAATATGTATTTTTCTTTTCATTCCAGATAACTGTATCTTTATGCAGCCTGAAAGGATAGTGGGTGTCCTTCACATAGTCTCTTCTCATGTCTGATTATCTTTCCTTTCTTTCCCATATCCTGTAGGAGAAGATGCTGTAGAGGATGAGGCTGAAGAGAACCCCATTGTCTTAGAGTTTCAGCAAGAAAGGGAGGCCTTTTATATAAAGGATCCAAAAAAGGCTCTCCAAGGTTTTTTTGACCGAGAAGGTATGTAAACAGATTCTGACCCTGCCAGTAAAATATATCCACAGCAATGTTGTTTTCTAGAGCTTCAGGTAGAGCATTATACTTAGAAATGCTACATTTTATCTGCTGTCCTCTTTGTTCAGTTCTTGCATTTGTGGTCATTTGCTTCAGGTTTGTTTTAAAATCATTCCTTATTATTTTAGTGGTAGAAAAAAAGAAAATCACAAAAATCTTTTTAGTCTTTCTTCTCGGAAAAAAGGAACTATTTTTTCCTGACTCATTTCATTCTTCTCAAAATATCCTGGGCTTCGGTGGTGAGGAAATTGAGCCAACTTCCTATAATTTGTTATTCCTAATTTACCTGATCTTTTGTAATTCCTAACATGGATTTTGACTTTATATGATTTTTAAAAATGTTTCTACAGAGGATTGTTTCAGTAGAAATACTTTGAGAGAACATTTATGTGTATATATGCATATATATATATATTTTATATATGTGAATAATATATGAACTGGCTGCTTTTTATACTTAATACTTATGCTTCTAAAAACTAGGCAACTGTGATAAAATAACCACTTAAGTCTATAGCTTGTAAAAAGTGTGAAAGCTACTATACAGTGAAAAAAGCTATGTTGGAGAGTTGACTGTTTTGATCTCAGTTTGCTTTTTTCTTTACTTCAAGTTCATTCTAGTTTTATTATCAGATTATAATCTCTAGGAATGATAAGTGAAATGCATTGAGATTTATTATTCAGTGTGGTTTGGGAACTTATTTAACCTTTGTTCTCATTTCTCATATCAACTAGTAATTTTCATATCCTATTAAAATTGTTTTGTGTTTTTTTCTCCCACAGGAGAAGAATTAGAATATGAATTTGATGAACAGGGACATAGCACTTGGCTCTGCAGGGTGAGGTATGTTCTTTTCTTATTAATGTCCATTTCTGGAAAGTAGCCAATTTCAGGTTTAATTTATAGTTATAGACAACAACTCAAAGAGTAACTTTAGTCTAAATTTTAGGCTCTTCCTAACTTTGGGCCTTGATAGCTTAGTAACACTTATGTTATTGAGGAGTCAGGTGGGATGGCTAAGAGGTGGAAGGTATTTCCTGGATTAGACTTAAGCCCATTATCCAAAGTCAGGCTCCATAAGAGCAGAAGAACGGGATCCATTTGTACTCGCCATCAAATTGGTACTAACTGATCAACACTAGGGTGATCACATGGCAGAAATACTCTCTAGGGATTAGGGGGATGGGGGGCAAATCTACAACTAAAGGACACGGGGAGCACTAAAGGGAGGGAAGGGCATGCCTTTAACCTGCACTTGGGTGAGGCAAAGACATAAAGTGTAACTATAATGTTTGTACCCTCACATTACCCTGGAATAAAAAAAAAAAAAAAAAAGAAGCAGGACCGAAGAAACAAGGAGAATGTAATAAATGTGGTTGCCATGATTTCTTGTATAAAGGGAAAAGAGAGATAGGCTATATTTTATTTTAAGTAGAACCCAACCTGCAAGCTGAACCTACCAAAGCCTCATGGAACAGTGCTCTGATTTCATTATTTATTTGTTGGATGTAACTGGTTTTGATTCTTTTTTTTTTTTTTTTTGGGGCAGAGTCTCACTCTGTTGCCCTGGCTAGAGTG